TTCTTTGATGTATGTTATGGTATGTGCTAGAACCGACATAGCATATGCAGTAAGTCTTGTAAGCAGGTACATGGCGAATCCTGGAAAGCCTCACTGGAAAGCATTGAAGTGGATTCTAAGGTATATAAATGAGTCTCTGAATAGAGTCCTAATTTATGGTGGAGCCTTGGGTAACAATCAAAGTCTATTCACATGTTGTTGATATAATCACCAAGACGTTGCCCAGTTGCAAGTTTTTCCACTGTATGCAGTTGATAAAGCTGCATGAAGAAATCTAGTTTCTTGATGTTATAGAGTTAGATCCAAGGTGGAGATTTGTGAGATATTGGATCGAACTCTAGTATGGTCGAAGGGTAGTTTCTGGTTCAACAGGAATTAAGCATGAGGTCGAAGTATGTCTGCATGCTGTTGTCGGAGTAATGCGTGTTGTAGTCGAAGTTTGTTCTAACATACATTAGTCAATATTGCTAGGGTTGTTAGCATGTTGAATTGGGCATTGCTTGTAAGCTCAATTGTTTAAGTTAGCTTGTACCCTAAGTTAGCTTGTAATGGGTAATTGTTAAAAAGCTCATTAGCTTAGTGTGCTATTTTTCTTATAAATAGGATGCTAGTTTCTCAATCTTGGCATAAGGAAAAATAGGAAGATAAAATCCTAATTTCGAGAGAGAGAGGTTATTTTGTTATTCTTGTATACTTGTAATCTTGTTTCTAAGAGAAAGCAAAGAATAACAGTTTATATAAAGAAACCGTTTATACTTTGTTTAAAGACATCTGATTCACAACTATATATATATATACCAAAAATGTGTCCCACTCAGTGATCGAACAGAGGATAAGCAAGACACAAGGTATAACGCACGCATGATACAACCACTGGGGTGACGATACATCCATGTATTTAGCCACCCCTAAAAATACAAAAGGGTTCTTTGGTTAAAATTTCTGGGCCAAGGCAAGGCAAAACTACAAGTGAATTGCTAAAATGCGTTTTGATTCCAATCTCTTCACTTTTCCACCAAACTGGATGAAATTTTAGTCAAAACTGAATGTTTTTAAAAGAGGGACAAGATGGTATCATTGGATTTTCAAGATCTTGCTCACAAAAAGAAATTCGATAGCAAATGCAAATGGCATGTTTAAAATGCATTTTTGAAATCAAGGCATACATTAGGTTGATTCAGGCCAAGCAAACACGACACACAATTTTCAAATATGCTAATTGATGTTTCCACACTCAAGGATCAGTACAAATCACTCCAAACAGAAAAAGGTTTGTTGGTTGCAATTATGATATAAAGGGATGCAAGTTGTAATGGTTCCAAATGAGTAGGTTCAGTTTACATACACATTGCATACAAGCTTCAATCATGTTAACAGATGATCTCATGTTCACGAATCAATAAAAAATGCTTCAAACATAAAGGCATGTTATGTGTAGCTGTGAATACAAAAACCTATTGAATGTAAAGAGATGCAGGTTGTCACAGTTCAAATTGTGTAGATTCATGTCATGAAATTAACACACACACATTTCAATCATGCTAACTGAAACTTTCATGCTCAAAACTCAATCATACAGTATTCAGAACAGAATTTGGCATGTTGGCAGCTATGAAATACAAGACAAGTTGACTATGCAGCAAGATAGGTCATGGCATATTCAAGGCAGTTAAACATCACACACAAGTCTAAAACATGCTAACTAAAAATTCTAGACTCATAGCTCAAACAGAAACATCTTAAAACAAGAATTGGATATGTTGTTGGTAGTGTAAAGCTTTGCAAATGCAAGTTGAAAGGCATAACTCAGAACAGCAAGAAACATGAACATGTGAGGGTATGCACAACTCATAAACATATAATCCAATGATTTCTGATGCAAAACCAAATCAAGTCCAATCAGAAAAAGTCATGTCAAATGCAAAGAATGCCTTGAAAATGCATGATGATGGCCATAGTTCAACATAAGAGGAAACATGCTCAAATGAAAGTGTGAACATCTTATACACATGTTATCTAATGATTTTAAGTGCCTAGATCAGACAGAAACAGTTTCAAACAAAAAGTGGCATGTAGGTAGCAAGAGATACTTTGAAAATGCAACATGTAGGCTTCAGCTCATGACAGAAAGAGATGATGATGAGTGATGGCATGTACAAGTCACAAATATTATATTCATGGGATTAGGATACAAAAAATCATATAGAGATGCCTCAAACAAAAATATGGTATGGGGCTGTTAGTGATTTTTAAAGCATGCTTATGGTTTGTATTGGAAAAAAGTGTAGGAATTCAATGATGTAGCTCACATACTTGTCATACAAAACATGATTCATGCATACTCAAGGATCAAAACATGATGCAAGGTTTGATTAATGTGACTTCAAGCAAAACCTAGTATATGTCATGGAAGTATACTAGTTTCGATCAAGATAATGATAGTATGCCTAAGCTCATGGAGATGGGACCTAATCTCACGAATTTTGCCTACTTTATTGAGTCTTCTTATGTTCCATGAGACTAACATGGATCAATGTTTGTGATCACAAGAGGTTCATTCAAAATCTCAAGTGCCTCAAAACCATTGTTACAATTGATATTACTAGATGATCTAATTAAGATGCTTTTACTTTTATCTCTTGTTGGTTTCCACACCGTTGTCCAAGGCTCCCTATCTTCATCCACTTTTTCCTTTTCTTCAGTTTGCTTTATGGGTGTTGTTACCTTAATTACTTCAGGAGGCTTAGGCTTAGGTCTCCATTTCTGGATCTTTCCTCGATCACCACACTTGTGTCCTAGCTTTTGGCATTTCTCATAAAATGTTGGCCTCCACTCATACTCCACAAGTTGCATTATCATACCACATGCACAATTCCTAATGGCAATTTCGTTGACCAGTTGTTGTGTATTATCCACTTCTACTATAATACACGTATAAGACACACGTAATTTACTCGCCGTACATTTATCAGTCACAAGGGGGTACCAATTGCACTACCAATTTTACTGAGGCTTTTTGCTCCCTAAAGGTGGAAAGAGAGTTAGGGAAGCTTGATCCAAATTGGCAGTGTTTTTAGTAGGTCTTTCTTCGGATTGAACTCAGACCTTCATTCCTTCAAGATCATATGCATATTTCTAATCGTGTATAGGCCTTTCATCATCATCGCATCCCTATCTTTGTGGGAGTTGAATCTTAGCAAAAAGTACCCTTCATCATGCTAGTAGAGATCTGGAATCTTCACGAATAATTCCACATTTTCTGCATAAAATTCTTCACAGTGTTCATACTCAAATCCTCACCCACCACGTATAAAATCAAAGCATTATCCCAAAATTGAACCTCAGTTCCAATATCTTCTTGTTCAATTCCAATTTCAACCACACCATTCACCGGCTTAGCCTCCACATATTCCATAGTCAATTCTTTTACAGGTTCTGGTTATCACTAAGAACATCCATCTAAAGTTTTCGTTCATTCGGCATCGATTTCACATCTTTTGTTAGGGTTTCCAATTGCTCAATCTTGGATTTCTCACTGTTGTTGAAAACATCATCATCTAATTCCATTTTTGTACTTGGCTTTTCCCCTTGAACCTCCGACTTTGTATGATTTTCCGGTGATGGTAGAACCTTGGATTTCGGCCGCCCACGCCCCCGTTTTGTCATCAGAGAGAGAGAGAGAAGTTTTTGACCATGACCTTTTATTATTATTATTATTATTATTATTATTATTATTATTAATTCTAATGTAAGATTCTTAAGAAAAAAAGATTCCGGCATAATTGTTTTGGCTGACTATATGAATAGAATTCAAGCTTTTTAATATGATTGTAAATAAAATATATTGTATTAAAATTTATTTAAGTATGTAATATATATATATATATATATATATATATATATATATATATATATATATATATATATATATATATATATATATATATATATATATATATATATATATATATATATATATATATATATATATATATATATACACATATGTGTTTGTGTGTGTGTGTGTATGTGAGATATTGGATCGAACTCTAGTATGGTCGAAGGGTAGCTTCTGGTTCGACAAGAATTAAGCATGAGGTCGAAGTATGTTCGCATGCTGTTGTTGGAGTAATGCGTGTTGTAGTCGAAGTTTGTTCTAACATACATTAGTCAATATTGCTAGGGTTGTTAGCATGTTGAATTGGGTCTTACTTGTAAACCCAATTGTTTAAGTTAGCTTGTACCCTAAGTTAGCTTCTAATGGGTAATTGTTAAAAACCTCATTAGGTTAATGTGCTATTTTTCTTATAAATAGGATGTTAGTTTCTCAATCCTGGCATAAGATAAAATAGGAAGATAAAATCCTAATTTCAAGAGAGATAGAGAGGTTATTTTGTTATTCTTGTATACTTGTAATCTTGTTTCTAAGAGAAAGGAAAGAATAACAGTGTATAACCAATCCTTGTTGTTCCTTGTTGTTTTACCTTGTTTTCTTTGTTAACCCTAAGTCTTGTGTGTTTCTTGATCATAAAGAAACCGTTTATACTTTGTTTAAAGACATCCGATTCACAACTATATATATATATATTATATTAAGATTGTCAACTTTCCTTGTGATAAATATTACGGGCAATTAGCTTATTCAAACCAAATCTTTCTAGTGAGTGCAATATCATCATGGCACTTGAGTCAAATTATACACAAAATAAGTTAAACATTGAATAATTTTAAGTAAAATAGCTAAATATTAAAGGTTACATCTTGCAAGATGTCCAAATTTATATTTTCGATCGTGTTGTGTAACCTTGATCATGCATACAAATACAAATATTAACAAGCAAGCATTATTTTATTTATGATACATAAAACAAGTAACAAGGAATATACACATAGGAAACTAGACATCACTCATCACTCACAAGCATGCATACTATTGTTAATTATGGTAGATTGATAAGATTGATTGACCTTGATTATACACAATGATATATTAACCGATTTCATATGTTGACTTTTGAATTTGGCAATGGAACCCACAAAAGATGATTTATAGAAAAGAAGTGACACACTGGAGTATTCTTGCCAGGCTTAACTCTCAATGTCCTGAATATCATATGATTTGGGTCCCAATCAGTTGTATCTAAATGGCACATACCAAGAGCTTCCATTTTATCTCCATTCTTATCACCAACAAGTGTGACTTTGAACACTTTAGTCCCAGTAGCCATGGTGTGGCAATAGTAAATGGCATATGGATATGGGAGGGGATGGCAAGATACCCATTTGGGAGCATCAATGTCATGCGATACCTTCAAAATGGTGTATTTCTAAAGAGGAGCAGCAGTAGGTGAAGGATAACTAGTTCTGAGAATATTTTGCTTGTTTTCTGAACCAATTATTTTTTCAACAAATTCAAACATGGACTCTACAGATTTGGCACAAATCTTGGTCTCTCCTATGAAAGTTTCTTCTTGACAATGTTCAAGTGTGCCTTTCATAGTTTTGGCTTCAAGAGAGTCTTATGGGATTGAAAAAAGTTGGAGAATGCTAGAGAGTTATGATACTGAGAAAGGAATTGAGTCAACCTCTTCTTTTCTTCAAAAAAAGTGAGGAATCTCTTGAAGAGAAAATTGGAGGGTCATTACATTTCCAACATGAAGATTCTCTAGGTTGAAAAATCCCTTCTCAAAAGCTTCTGTGTGATCAGGACTGGGATCATGAGTTTTAACTTTATAATTATATTTAGGTTTTTTGGCTTCACGACTACCCCAAGGGCGCCAAGGATTAGGATCACAGGTATTAACTTCATAATCATAATTAGATTTTTTGGTTTCACGACTACCCCAAGGGCGTCAAGGATTAGGATCACGGGTATTAACTTCATAATCATAATTAGATATTTTGGTTTCACGACTACCCCAAGGGAGCCAAGGATTAGGATCACGGGTATTAACTTCATAATCATAATTAGGTTTTTTGGTTTCACGACTACCCTAAGGGTTCCAAGAATTAGGATTACGGGTATTAACTTCATAATCGTAATTAGGTTTTTTGCTTTCACGACTACCCCAAGGGCTCCAAGAATTAGGATCACGGGTATTAAATTCATAATCGTAATTAGGTTTTTTGCTTTCACAACTACCCCAAGGGCTCCAAGAATTAGGATCACGGGTATTAACTTCATAATCGTAATTAGGTTTTTTGCTTTCACGACTACCCCAAGGAAGCCAAGGATTAGGATCACGAATATTAACTTCATAATCATGATTAGGTTTTTTGGTTTCACGATTACCCCATGGGCGCCAAGGATTAGGATCACGGGTATTAACTTCATAATAGGAATTAGGTTTCTTGGTTTCACGACTACTCCAAGGACGTCAAGGAATAGGATCACGGGTATTAACTTCATAGTTATAATTAGGTTTTTTGGTTTCACGACTACCCCAAGGGCGCCAAGGATTAGGATCACGGGTATTAACTTCATAATCGTAATTAGGTTTTTTCGTTTCACGACTACCCCAAGGACGCCAAGGATTAGGATCACGGGTATTAACTTCATAATTGTAATTAGGGTTTTTGGTTTCACGACTACCCCAAGGGAGCCAAGAATTATGATTATGGATATTAACTTTATAATCATAATCAGGTTTTTGATCTCTTTTATTTCACTTAGATTCATAGATCCTCAATTTTAAATTTAAATATTGTTATTTTTCTCTTTCTTTTACATTTTAAATTGATGGTGAATTTTATTTAAATGACAGTCAGTTGTGAAACGTGATAAATCATCATATAAAAATATAAATAATGATTACCTTAATTTTTAATGTAAAAAAGTGAGATAGAGACAAAAATTATTTAAATTTAAAATAGAAAAATTAATTTTATAGATAAGATAAAATACGAAAATAGAAATATATAACTAAGCCTGTATCTTATTACTTGATATTTTGATTGCAAGGAATTTTAACTATAAGAAAACGAAAATATTTCAACACCATCAAACTATTAATTAACTTGAATTACAAATCATGAAAGTTCACCACCGAGCTTTGATTTATTCAAAGGAAAGGGTAACGATCGAAGAAAATCCTAAGTGCGCTATGTAACAACATAGCTAGAGATCTAAAGTTCGGGGGTTGGTTATACCTAGGGAAGGTGTTAGCATCCTAAGTATCTGTAGTACTCTACAGGAACCTCTTGTTCGTATTTGTGTTATGCTATAGGTTTCTTGCTAAGGAAAAAGTGCTAAGGTAAAGACCTAAGGTATATACACTAGGTATGCTCGTCAAGACATCGCATCTCGTGCCTACGTATCCTAACTAGGATGGAATCAGAGCAACCGTAGTTCACATAACCAGGGATGAGGAACTCTTGACTGTGGTCAAGGTTCTAGAGGAGAAGTAAGTGTCCATAACCATGATACTTACACAGAGTTAACCAACTCTCTAAGTCTAAGTTGAAAACTAACTAAAGAAAACTACTTTAACCAAAGTCAAAGGGGAAAGTGAGTATCCATAATCATGTGCCTACGTATCCTGACTAGGAAATGGGAATCAGAGCCACCGTAGTTTGGCCTTGCTAGGGTGAGGAACTCTTGATAACGATCAAGGTTCCAAAATGGAGTAAGTATCTATAACCATGATACTTACACAGAGTGTGACGACTCCAAACCTAAACTAGGTTATAACAGACAAGACTCTCACAAGGTCTCGAGGGTAAGGTGGACAAGGCTAAACAGCATAACATGGCAGTCAACTATAGGACCCTTTCCTTTGGAATCGATACAAGCAAACAAATAGTCAAGATATGCCTCATCCTTCGAGATGAGTTAACAAAAGAGAAACAAACCTAAAGCATGGAAGTAACAATCTCAAAATAGAATCGACCAAAAAGAAATATCATAAGATGCTGAATGCGGCATAAAGAACCAGAGGAGAAGAAATATATGTTACAAACTCACAAAGGTAGACGTCAGATTAATTACAGAAATTAACCAGATAATAATCTGAGTGATGGAAAACTAGAATCCTAAATAATTAAATATGCGTCATCGCTTGCATAGCTGCAGGCAAAGCAGCATCATTCCTTCCTGCCATACTGCTCAACCAAAACAACACTAGGTTAACAAGACACACCAACTCTATCCTAAGGACAGACTCAACAACTACACTGGCCGAACGGACCGACCTGCTCTGATACCAACTTCTAACACCCCACTTCCCAAATTAAAATAAAATACGATTAAATCAAATAAATATCAGAGTTTCCCTTCAAACGGGATGTCACATTCACAAAGATTCAACAAAACACCTCATTTCCTGATTTTCACAATAAGCAGCGAAAAAAGTTTCATTAATATATATATCATTCACGACCATTCACCGAAATACACAAAAGTCATTCATCATTAAGGTTCATCAAAATAAGATACGCTACGGGAATACAACAATTCGATCACAAAACAATAAACTCCCAAATCCCGTGTTGCGTATCAGAGCATCCTAGGACTCGACCTGCACACCACTATCCAAGCTAGCTAAGCACCTGGATAATCTGTACTTCCGCAGAAGCACATACCACAACAACAACAGAGGGGTGAGAAAACATGATTAAAATTATCGGTAATATAACACATGAATAAAAGGCAGTAAATAACAATCATCACCCCACCAACATCAAACAGGACCTACTGTCCAACCATCAACACAACATATCATAATGCAAGAATGCAACCCAACACATGCATGCGGTACCGACTCATCATCACCGATGAACACCTGACCATCAACCCTCCACAAAGGAGCACATCATCATCACCGATGGGCATCTGGCCATCAACCCTCCACAAAAGAGCACATCATAAACAGGATAGATCACATACACCCACCAATGGCAATGATCTATCCCCACCACAATCACTGATGGACACCTGGCCATCACCCTCCACAAAGGAGCACATTATCACTACCGATGGGCACCTGGCCATCAACCCTCCACAAAGGAGCACATCATCACACCATGCTATGCATAACCCCAATGCACAACACACAACATCTAGCACACTAAATGCACACGATCCTACTGATCATATCCCCATACATCATACACATGCATATATATACACACCAATCAATTATCAATCAAGTTAAATAACAGTGAAACCCCAATCGACACTGAGTACACACGATCCTCCTGATCGCCTCACTATGCATCATATACCTATTATATATATATATATATATATATATATATATATATATATATATATATATATATATATATATATATATATATATATATATATATATATATATATATATATATATATATATATATATATATATATATATATATATATATATATATCTTACTCACCAATTAATCATATCAAGTAAATTCAATATTCTATAATTCATCTTTCCACATCAAGTATACTCTCTTTACCCCTAAACAACATCTCTCGATCTATCATTACCCAAGGAATCTCACAAAACGAGACACAAGGAAAAACAACACAAAAATCACATTCTGTCACGCTCGCTGGCTCACTCGCCTAGCGAGGCCTCAATGAATGTTCGCTACTCGCTCGCCCAGCGAACTCCCTAGCGAAGGCAGACAATGGCTACTGGAAGCACTCGCTAACCAGTTTGCCTAGCGAATCCCTAGCGAAGGTTTGCTACTAGCTCGCTCAGCGAAGGTGTTGGCGAATGTCTGCGATTTCACAAAAATCTCACTGTTCAGAATTCATCAGAAGCTCCAATAATTTACCGATTCTCGCCAAACCAGTCACAGTAGTCTTAGCCTCACTTCCTATGACTAAACTACACTACTTAATCCAAGTTTTACCCAATAAAACACCAACTCTACCGATTAAAATCATTTTCAACATAAAATCGTAAACTACTCAGAACATCAACCAAATCCCTACATTCATCACATGCAAGACAAGCATAACAGAATTTCACCAATTTCCTATCAACACAAATACCATTCATTCATGGAACCAACAATCAGAACATTACAGCAACTTAATCATGATCAACAAATTCTTACGGGGTTAAGGAATCCCCAACTACCCCATTCATGCAATCACCAATTTTAACCCGTTTCTCCCCCCCCCCCCCCTTACCTCGACTAGTTGCTTTGATCGATGAAACTTCCAAGAATTCGACAGCCTAGCCTTCTTCTTCTTCCTCTTGTTCTTGTTCTTCTTCTCCTCCCTCTT